CTAGCACCCTCACACAGACATGCGTGCAGGCAAAAAAAAAAAAAAAGACAATAGATATAAAATAAAAATGGGCCATTGGTGACCAAAGCCCAGACCTTCCAACATGCATGCCCAAAGCTTTAAGTCTCAATTTCTAACACTGCAGTAGCTTTTCCTATACATTTTCCTATACATTGTTTTCCTTTATGCTTTTCTGCCATGTTGAGATACAGCTGGGAAGTTGGGGTACAGGGGAAACATGATGATAACACCCTCAGTCAGAGGCCAAACAAATGGGCTTTCAGCCACTGTCTTACTTAAGGTTTTTATTACTGCGAAGAGACTATCACCATGGCAACTCTTACAATGGAAAACATTTTTTAGTGTTAACCCTTTTTATTTAGTTTTTTAAAAAAATTATTCATTTTATATACCAACCACAGTTCCCCCTCCTTCCATTCTCCCTCCCCCCTCCTTCCCCCAACCCATCCCACATCTAATTCTCAGAAAAGGTAAGACCTCTCATGGGTAGTCAACAAAGCCTGGCACATTAAATTGAGGCAGGACCAAGACCCTCCCTCCTGTATGGAGGCTGAGTAAGGCATCCCACCACATGGAACAGGCTCCAAAAAGTCAGCTTATGTACCAGGGATAAATCCTGGTCCCACTGCCAGGGGTCCCACAAACAGTCCAAGATACATAACTGTCACCCACATGCAGAGGGCCAAGTTCAGTCCCATGCAGGCTCCCCAGATGTCAGTCTAGAGTCAGTGAGCTCCCACAAGTTCAGGTCAGCTATTTCTGTGGGTGGGTTTCCCCATCACGCTCTTGCGGGGGGGGGGCCCCCCCCCCAATTATTCCTCCTCCCTCTCTTCGACTGGACTCCCGGAGTTCAACCTGGTGCTTGCCTGTAGATCTCTACATCTGCTCTGCTTCCATCAGTTACTGGATGAAGGTTCTATGATGACAATTAAGGTAGTCACCAATCTGACTACAGGGGCAGGCCAGTTCAGGCACCCTCTCCACTACTGTTAGGAGTCTTAACTTGGGCCATCCTTGTGAATTCCTGGGAATTTTCCTAGCACCAGGTTTCTCCCTAACCCTATAATGGCTCCCTTTATCAAGATACAAGATATATCAAAGTGATGAGTCAGACTTTGTTGACTCTCCATGGGAAGCCTTATGCTCTCTGAGGAGTGGATGGGGAAGAAAGGAGGGGGGAGCAGGAAGAGGGGAGGAAGTGGGACTGGGATAGGTATGTAAAATGAGAAAAGACTGTTTCAAAAAATAATTTAATTAAAAAAATAAAAATAATAACTAAAAGATATCTCTTTCATTTCATTCCCACTCCAACCCTCCCCCAACTCGACCACCCCATTTCCTCATGTTCCCATCCCCCATTCCCTCCCCTACTACCTCCTACCCCTGGTGTCCCCAGTTTGCCCAGGAGACAGAATTTCAAAGAGCTAATATCAATTCTCCTCAAATTGTTCCAAACAATAGATCAGAAGGAACATTGTCCAACTCCTTTTATGAGACTATAGTTACCCTGATATACAAACCATACAAAGAAACAACAAAGAAAGAAAATTACAGATCAATCTTCCTTATGAACGTTGATGCAAAAATACTCAATACCGGCAAACTGAATCCAAGAACATATTAAAAACAACAACAAAAAAAAAATCCATCATGATCCAGTAGGCTTCATTCCAGAGATGCAGGGATGGTTCAACATACAAAAATCTGTCAATGTAATCCACAACATAAACAAACTGAAAGAAAATACCCCACAAGATCATCTCATTAGATGATGAAAGAGCCTTCGACAAAATCCAACATCCCTTCATGATAAAGATCTTGGAGAGAGCAGGGATACAAGGAACATACCTAAACATAATAAAGGCAATTTACAGAACGCCAATAGCCAACATCAAACTAAATGGAGAGAAACTTAAAGTGATTCCTCTAAAATCAGGAACATGGCAAGGCTGTCCACTCTTTCCGTATCTATTTAATATAGTACTCGATGTTCTAGCCAGAGCAATAAGGCAACAAAAGGAGCTCAAAGGGATACAAATTAGACAGGAAAAAAATCAGACTCATTATTAGTAGATGATATGAGAGTATACATAAGTTACCCCCAAAATTCTATCAGAGAACTCCTACGGGTGATAAACACCTTCAGTAATGTGGAGGGAAAACATTTGATTGGGGCCGGCTTTCAGTTCAGAGGTTCAGTACATTCACGGTGGGACATGGCAGCGTGCAGACAGACATGGTGCTGGAGAAGCCGGGAATCTTCCATCTGGAGCAGTAGGTAGCAGGAAGAATGAGCCACTAGGTCTGGCTTCAAAACCCATCCCCTGTGACACTTTCTACAAGGCCACACCTCCAATAATGCTACTCCCTAGGAGTCTATTGGGGCCATTTTCAGTCAAACTACCACAACCACCAACACTGTGAACTGATAAAGAACACAGCCTTGGGCTTGATTACAGCAAATAGACCAATGAAGATAAATACACATTTCAGACTTAAATTAAAAAAAAAAGTCCTCAAAAAAACAACAAAAAATTGTCTAGCTGTTTTCATTTTTTAGTGTATGTTATACCCAAATCCGTGGGTCCCCACAAAAGCCAACAGAGGAGATCGAGTCTCGTATGTAAAAGTAAGGAGCAAGTTTGCAAACTCAGTCTCTGCGCATGTCCAACGTATTGAAATAACCAGAGAACCCCAAGCTCAATTAGAATTGGGTTTTTATAGTAATAAAGGTGGGGATGAGGGGTTTCTGAGGTTCAGGACCCGATTGGCTGACATTTGTCTAGGGGTGTCCTGGTGAAGTGCTTGGAATGTCAGGAATTTCCTTTGAATGGTCTGCTCTTGGGTGGGGGTCGGGTAATCTCAGCCTGCCAGGCATTGTCTCAGGGTAAACTATTGAGACTCCAGCCTCTATTTAAATTCATCGATGGCCAGAGTCCGAGGTGATAATGGTTGGAAGTAAAGGACTTCCTTTGGATGACCTGCCCAGACTTAGCTTTCATGGCTGACCCCCACATATATATGGGTGTTTAGCCTGCATGCATATCTGCACCGTACGTGTGCCTAGTGCCTACCCATAGAGGCAAGAGGGCATTGGATATTGGATACCTTAGATGAATCACCATGTGGGTGCTAGGATTCAAATTCTTAACTACTGGGCCATCTCTCTAGCCTTAGATTTTTTTATTTTTTTTGCTTTGTTTTGTTGTTTTGTTTTTTTGAGACAGGATTTATGTGTGATTTTGGCTGTCTTAGACTGGAGACCAGGCTGGCCTCAAACTCACTCTGCCTCCCAGGTGCTGGGATTAAAGGCATGCGCTACCATTGCCTGGTTAGACTACAATTCTTAATGAACCAGTTCTTATGATTATGGCTGTGATAGTCAAACTTCTTTTAGAACACTAAAAACCAGGCGGATAGGGTGGTGCTACACAATGAAGGCGTGGCTGACATCATGCATTAGGAAACCTACTCTTAGGAACCATGGTTAACTGTAGGCAAGGAAAGCAGGAAAAACATGGTAATTTGGCAGGAGCTACAATGACTCAGCTACAAAACCTAGTGTGGATGTACAGGACACATTTAAGAAGGTGTCTCTCTGCCAAACTGACTGAAATCAAGTTAATAGATTTCATGGACAGGTATGTTTGCCTCCTCAAAACACTGCATTGGAAGATCCAATGGCTATGAACTTCTGTTTGACTGTAAAGTCCCTCAACACTCTTCTTGGTCTTAAATAAACCACAGGATCATCTTGAATTCCTTACAGTTCAAACTGGTCTTCAGAGAGGAGAAAAAGCATCCATCCTATGTGCGGTGACAACACTCCTTCCCACAGTTCACTACCTAAGGCTTTGTAAAAAGACCCTTGGAAAATGCCAGGTTCTCTAATTTTTGCTTGTTTTTTCAAGACAGGGTTTCTTTGTGTAACAGCCCTGGCTGTGCTGGAACTTGCTTTGCAGACCGAAGTGGTCTCAAACTCACAGAGATCACCGGCCTCTGGGATTAAAGGCGTGCGCCACCACCTTGAGGTCTCCTGTGTAATTTTTATCTAGCAGCTTCTAGTGCACCGTCCTGTCTTTCAGTACAGCAGGCAGCCATAGGGCACTGAGCAGAGGCTCACTCTCAGATAACCTCCTGAGCTTCCTGGGATCTATTCCGATATCCTCCCCTTTTAAGCCGATCTGATCCTTGCACCACAAGCAATTACTTTCTTGATTCAGTAGGCTCCAATTACAACCAAAATAAATTTAGCGGGTATTTTCACAGGATTCTAGGTAGAATCGCGAGAATGATGAACTCTGTGTATCAGAAGGGTGCTAAACAGTAAGTCTCATGGCATTAGTCTAATATGCATTCCACTGTATAAAACACATATTTAGAATTGCATCTATACCTGGAAAATGTTATTGTATGCTGTGTTCAAAACATCCTGAAACTCACACATTTATATTTTATACAACTATATAATCTGGACACTGTTTATAAGCCAATGATAAAGATTTTTTTATTTTACATGCATTGGTGTTTTGCCTGCATGCTTTTCTATGTAAGGGTATTGAATATGGAACTGGAGTTACAGACAGTTGTGAGCTGCCATGTGGGTGCTGGGAATTGAACCCAGGTCAGGCATAAATTTCATTTTTTTTTCTTCTGCAAGAGCAGTCAGTGTTCTTAATTGCAGAGCTATCACTCAAGCCTGAGAAAGATTCTTTAAAGAAATACTATTTGTGTGTTGTTTGCACACATGCATGATAAATATTAGTACAGGCACATATGCGCCATGACATACGCACGGAGGTCAATGGACAACTTTCTGAAGCTGGTTCCCTCTTTCTACCATGGAATGTGGGGGGCAAACTTGTACAGCAAGCACCTTTTACCCGCTGAGCACTCATTGGCCCAAGGGAAATACTCTTATATTTTTAACAACACAAAGATTAAAAGCAGCAAGTATGAAAACACCATAGCAAGAGATATTATATTGTCCCACTTTATTTATAACAGAAATAATTAGAAACAAATATCCATCAGAAAATTGTTTTTAAAAAGATAACAGAACCACATTCTATGCTAAACCATAAAATGGAACTCTGAATTATTGCTAAAAAAACATTGTGCAAAGTATTTAATGACACGTAGAGACGTGACTTATTTTTTCACCCCACTGTCCCCTGGCAGTTCTCCCTCGTCACCGCCCTATACTTCCCGTCCTCACTTCTCCCATCCTCTGCCCATCTTGTTCTCGGCAGTCTCCACCGGGACCTAGCTCAGCACAGCATCCACTGCAGCCAGCATGCACGTGCTCCTCTCCCGTCTTCCAGTGCAGAGCCACCCTTCACTTGAGCACTAGACCTGGGAGCTGCACACGATCACAACCACACAGGAGGATGCGTTAACTGAGGGACCTTCGAACTATTCCAAATGGCCAGTCTTCAAAAGACCTGAACAGGAATAGATTTGTCCTCTATAGAAGCTGCAAAAGAGAATAAACACATCAGCTTGCGAAAATGACCAACTTAATCACCCTACACTCACCCTCTCTTGCCATCCATGCAGCAAGAGAGAACATAAAATCCAAAATGAGTTAGATATTCTTCTTGGGGAAAATGGAAGGAACACCCTGAGTTTAAATGTAAAATCTAAGGCTAGAACTGAACCAAAATCCAGAAAAACAGAAAAAGAAAAAAACCAAAATCACATTTAAAAACAAAACAAAACAAAAAAACCCAAACCAAGCCAAAAAGATAATTAAAAAAAAAATAAACCCAACTATATTGGCCTCTAATCCCAGCACTTAGGAAGCAGAGGTGGTGAATCTGTGAGTTCTAGACACAGAAAGCTCTAGGACATCCAGGACTACATAGAAAGACTCTGTCAAGAAAAAAAAAACAAAAACAAAAAATTAATTAACAACAATAGAGTTGAATGGAAACGTAAGAACTCATTTATGATTACATAAAAAATTTCACACTGGCTCTTTCCGACATCTTTCCGCGCTGCCACCATGGTGCGCATGAATGTCCTGGTGGATGCCCTCAAGAGCATCAACAATGCAGAGGAGAGGCAAACGCCAGGTCCTCATCAGGCCCTGCTCCAAAGTCATCGTTCGGTTCCTAACCGTGATGGTGAAGCACGGTTACATTGGTGAATTTGAAATCACTGATGACTACAGACAGAGCTGGAAAGATCATCGTGAACCTCACAGGCAGGTTGAACAAGTGTGGAGTGATAAGCCCTAAATTTGATGTGCAACTCAAAGACCTAGAAAAATGGCAGAACAATCTGCTCCCGGCCCGTCAGTTTGGCTTCATTGTACTGACCACCTCAGCTGGCATCATGGACCATGAAGAGGCAAGACGAAAACACACAGGAGGGAAATTCCTGGGATTCGTTTTCTAGAGATGTCAAACATAAATAAAAAGCCTTTATGGACTGTGGGAAAAAATTCACAATGGAGGCTGGAGGGGAGGGTTGGCTCAGTGGTGAAGGATACTTATTCTTGACAGAGGACTCAGGTTTGATTCCCACCACCCACACAGCAGCTCACAGCCACATGTAGCTCCAGTTTCAGAGGACCCAACATCTTCTGACCTCTGTGGGCACCAGGCATGAGTGTGGTACACAGACACACATTCAAGCAAAACACACATACACATTAAAAACTACAACAATGGAGCAGAGAAAAATGTATAGCTCAATAAAATAAAAAGTCCACAAATATGAAGACAATACTGTTGTTACTATTATCCAAAGCAATCCTCACGTTCAACACAATGAAGCTACAATTAAATATTTGAAAAAAGGTAAAAAGAAAAAGAGAAATGAAGAAAGAAGTTTCTTTTTTCTTTTCTTTTTTTTTTTTTTTGAGACAGGTTTCTCTTTGTAACCTCAGCTGTCCTGGAACTTGCTCTGTAAACCTGGCTGGCCTTGAACTCACAGAGATCCACCTATTTCTGCCTCCCAAGTGCTGGGATTAAAGGCATGAGTCACCACCACCTGGCAAAAGAAATTTCTTTAAAAGATCCTGAATAACCAAAACATCGGGAAAGAAATACCACATGGGCAAGACCTTACCTCAAAAAAAGCCAGGCAGTGGCGGTGCACGTCTTTAATCCCAGCATTCGGGAGGCAGAGGCAGGCAGAGAAACTCTGTCTTGAAAAAGCAAAACCAAAACAAAAGATGACAAGAAAGCCTACAGAATGGGAAACGACGTGACACTCTTCACAGAGGAAGGAGAAGGTCACATAAAAACAATGCCAAAGGACAAACAGAAACCCTGGGACAGTAAACTCACGATGCTGCGTGTCATGCAAATCAGCCACAGGGCACCATCTTTACATCCACTAAGATAGAGAAAAATTAAAACACAAAGTATTAACAAATGTGGAAAAGAAATTCTATGGCTTATAGGAATGTAAACTGTTACAAAACACATTAGAAAAATTATGTTACCTTAAACCAATCCATTAAATTCTACTCCTGGGCATAGACCCGAGTAACTGTTGCAATTTATAGCGAGATATTTATAAAGAGTTACTGGAACAAGGTGCCCTCAGAAAACTGAAAATCATCTAAATCTCCAACAATGATATCCAATCATAACCAAGTCATAGAATAAAATGCCAGGTGTGGTAGTACATTTTTAATCCTGGCACTCGGAAGGTAGAGGCAGGTGGATACAGCCAGGGCTACATAGAGAAACCCTATCTCAAATATCAGACAGACAGACAGAACTCAAGAGGAGAATTACACACACACACACACACACACACACACACACACACGGCAGACAAGTCCAGACAGAGGAGCAGGTATATACATATTTTTATTGAGGAAGGAAGGGAAAAATGCTTCCATTTGAAAAGACAGAAAAGCCTCTATTAAGGCTGTTATCCCAACTTCAAGAGGTGATTAAATAAGAAAGACCATCAGCAGAGTCACTTTTACCTTCTCAGGCTATTTACACGACTTCTTTTCAGAATCCAAAACCTAATAGAAAAAAAAAAACCCAAGATTTTAAAAAATTCATTAATACCTATTATGTACACTGTCCTATCTCATTCTTCTCCAATTGTTCTAATAGCATTCAACCTAACAACATGTGGTATTACAAAAAGAAACAAGAAACTAGTTTCGCATAAACATTAGGTATGATTCCTAGTTCCACAGAAGCCACCCCACCCCTGACATAAAGTGCCCACCAATAAGCACCTGACTTCCTCATTCTGGCTTCGGCTCAAGGAGCTTTTGCCACAAGCGGTTTTAGGAGGACTTTTAAATTTTTCACATTTATTTAAATTTAATTTTGGAGACACTACCCTGACCTAATCTATAGGAAAAGAACGTCAATGACCATAACTTCGCAGTAACCTTTTCTCAAAGACCAGGAACACCTGAAGACCACTTATTGATGTAACTAACGTGTTTGTAAGCAGTGGCTCTCGATTCCCTTCTGAGCTTATAACAAGAGGACAAAGCTGTGCCTCTACTTCCTTTGCCTGTCTCGATTTAACAGCTATTAAAAGTTGCTAACTGGGGTAAAGAGACAGCTCGGTGAGTAAAAGGGGCTGCCGCCAAGTGCAACAACCTGACCTTGGTCCTAAGGACCCACATGATAAAGAGAACCAACTGCCTAGAGTTTTTTCTGGCTGCCACAAGTCTGTACACACACATAGCAAATAATAGAAATTGTAACTCGCTAACAATATTGACTAACAACATTCTAATTAATTCTATCAATGAATATCAATCTTCCTTTCAGAGACAATGATAACATAAAAATAATTTTCCAAACCTAAGTAAACTTAGATTATCATATACTAGCCCATGAAGCTCTCTCTTTTTTTCAAATGTCATCCTTGGTCCAAACATACTGTTTTTAAAAAGAAAAACAAGATCTCCACCGTACTTACTCTAGCCAACAGTTCCTGTGTTTCCGCCGTCAGTGGGGCATGAGAAAAATTACAGTGATCGCCCTGATAACATTTTGTTCCTGTGTGATAAAACTTGCAAGGGTATTCATGTAGCACAGTGTTAAGGGAAAGAACAATTTTAACCCAACTGAAATAATTCACTGTTAATTATAAAGATTTTTTCCTCTAAAATCTCTCCTACCAGTATAATCGCTGAGTTTTCTATTCAAAATGTGAGAAAATAAAAGGTCTCATTTTAGGAAGACAATATATTCTCATGATGTGCCACAGGTCAGTTTCATTCACAGAGGAAAGAAATGTGTTTTAATTACCTTGAGAGATGTGGTTATTTTAAAAGGTTCTTTGAGAATTGGGTAAATTAAAGTCAGTGACTACAGTATGTTTTACAAATCTGGATCTTTTATGTATTAGGTTTTTTAAAGTAGAACCGAGTTATATAATGTTATTAAATAGAAAATATCAAGTTAGAATCTGAGACTTTTTTTTTTCTTTTTCTTTGGTTTTTTGAGACAGGGTTTCTCTGTGTAACAGCCCTGGCTGTCCTGGAACTCACTTTGTAGACCAGGCTGGCCTCAAACTCAGAGCTCTGCTTGCCTCTGCCTCCGGAGTGCTGAGATTAAAGGCGTGCGCCACCACCACCCAGAAGAATCTGAGACTTCAATGGTGTATGACTATAAAGAAACAACTTTTGTGTGGCCAATGGTGCTATTACCTTAAATGCTTGAGTTTCATGTTTTTTGACAAGTCTGTGCCATTAGAACCAAGGCTCCCCTTCAAGTTCAGGGAACCTCCATAAAATATTTTTTTTCTATATGAATACTCAATTAGACACAACCACAACAGAAACTGACATCTTCCTGGACCTGACTAGGTCTCATGAGCCTTCCACCACCAAGGCTGAGCAGAATGGACCTACATTTAGGAGACTTTCTGAAGGGTCCCTTTCTTTCTTATGCAAAAATGTATACAATACAATCACTTTGATATCGACTTGGGCTTAGGTAGAGCACTTTGCTATAGCCAACGCTGTGGTTTATTATAAAGTCTCCATCTTTAAAAGTTCATGCTAGGGGCTGGAGAAATGGCTCAGCGGTTAAGAGTACTGACTGCTCTTCCAGAGGACCCAGGTTCAATTCCCAGCACCCACATGGCAGCTCACAACTGTCTGAAAATCCAGTTCCAGGGGATCTGACACTTTCACACCAATGCACATAAAATAAAAGATAAGTAATCATAAAAAAAAATTTAAAAAAAAAAAGTTCATGCTATACAAAGAGTGAAGGGAATCTTGTGATAAAGGATATTATGCAAATACAGGCAGTTCTCGCCTTTGTTGCAATACCCTTGTACGTAATACTTACACATCTCCTTCTTTTTCTCTATCTCCGCATCATGATCAAACTTACACTGGTCTCCCTGGGTGTAAAAATAAGCACAGGTCACATCTTACAGTCAGACCTTCGCAACTCAACTCCCACTAAACTTCAAATGAGCGAGTTCAGAAAGTCCAAACAAGCTCGTGTTAGCGATAACTTAGCTTGTTACATCACTTAGCTTGCTGATCTTTTAAAAATTCTTCAACATTTTTAATGTAAAGCATACTTAATAAATTACCTTTTAAAGCATAAAAGTGGCACATCACTAATTTTCTAATTAAATTGTTTCCAAGAGCGAATAGTTTTAAAACACTCAGAGACAGCAGTTCTTGTAGATTTCTGCCATGAACACGCTGTAGTGTATTTTTGCTTACACATTCTCATACCTTAATACATTTCCTTTCAAGAAAGTATTTGCAAACTTGCTTCCCCTTACGTTCCACTGTGTGCTGATTGATGAAGCCTTGACTCATCCTTACACGTGGCTGCTTCTCTTCAGGTTCACCAGTCTTTAATACAATAAATAAACAAACAAACAGAAAAAAAGAAAATTAAATATTTCATTGTTTTACAAAACTGTTTTAATCTACTTTTAATACATTAGAATGTGTCTCTTCTAGCTGGGCATGGTGATATAATGTATCATCTCAGCATTCCAAGGCTGAAGCAGGGCTACAAGTTCAAGGCCAGCCTGGCCTATACAGCAAGACCCTGGCTCAAAAAAGGGTCTTGACTAAAACAGCTTTCAAAGATGGACTTTAGTAAATCAGTTTATAAAATGAATCATTTTATAATTTTCAACTCAATGAAAATTCAAGCTCATCATTTTCAACAGCATTCAACCACTGAATACTAGTGTTTGTAAAATTTGAGTATTTTATGTACTTTACCTTTATTTATAAAAATGAATGAAAAAAATAAGAAAGTATATTGTTTGTAATAAAAAGAAGTCTACAACAGAAAGCGTTCGGATCACAGACAACAAAGCTGGGACTCCATTAACAGAAAGCAGTGAAAAATCTCTAGTTCCAACTACAGTTTTACAGATTAATATTTTAAAAAGAAAGGAGAACCCTAAAACCTATTTTAGCTCTTTAGAAACAAAACTCATTTTTAATGTATTACCTTATGACAGAGCTTATTGCCTCTGTATGCCTAAGTCATAAATACAGTTTTGGGAATATGGTGTGTGCAATTAAGAACTAGCCCATTTCCTAAATGACCAGCTTTGCAAGAACATCGTTATCGATTTATTAAGACCATAAAAATTATAAGTGTATCTCAGTTCAAATCTTTGGCTTTAGGTAATTATGCTATGAGAGTCTAACATATGTTTAGAACTTGCTCTCTGCATAGAGGGGCTGCAGTTCTGGGGGAAGAACCATCTGAGTCAATGTTACAACATCGAGAGGGAAGAAACAAAGTTCAGCCCTGGCTTGGCCTGTGTGGAATAGGCAGTGAGCCCAACTCTGACTTCAGATTTCTCATTTGCAAAATATGGAAAAAGAGACAGTTTTTAGCTAAGTTTATTTCAATCTTTAATATTTAGTATTCCCCTCCTTATTTTGATATGGGATCTCACTGTTTGTTACCCAGGATAGTCCTCAATCCCTCCTACCACTCCTAAGCAGCTGGGACAACACAAGGCACCCACAACCATGCTTTGCTAATACTTTGATATTTCTAATATTTTAACCTCCCCAAACTCTTGACCCCGCGACTAAGCTGAATAAAAAGCTTGCCATTCGGTTTAAAAGTCTTCGGAGGAGTCTAGAGAGGTCATTTACTATCCTATGCTGAGTAATATGCAAATCAAGGAAGAACAGTTACAAACCAAAATCAAAGCACCAGGTACAGGACTGGCAGACTGGGTAAGACTGATGTTCAGAAATAGCTGTTTTTAATTTCCAGAAGGATCAACCCAAAGGCTGCGGGACTATGCAGGACTATGCGACCTTTCAACCGTCTCCAAAGCTATTTCCTTTTGCCTCCCAGTTTTCTACAGTTAGCGATGGTCCCACACTCAGAGACCAAAGGGCTGGTGCATCTGTATTCTGGACCAACAGGGAAACCCCTGAGGCTGAAGACAGTGCTGGCAGCCAGTGCCGAGAGGGAAGGAAGCAATAATTAAGAAGGAAGACCACAGAGTCAACAGCAGGTAGGGGTTTCCGTATACCCTGATTCGTGGGGTGCTCCTGCCTCCCCACATCACCGAGCACTTCCTGAAACTGAAGTGAAAGATAAGAAACCCGGAAGCACATAGGCATCCTCTTGTACCTTTCCTTGGGAGCCACTGTTCTTCAGCGAGACACTTGACCCTTGGTTTCCAGTGCCGGGCCACTTGCGCTTCATTTTCTTCTGTTTAACTTTCTTGTGACCAGATTTAGATTTCTTATTTTTTTGTTTGGCAGCTAAAAACGAGAAGTTCATTTTTTAAAAATAGCATTAAAGGTATGACATCAGTTTAACCCTTAGACATTGGCCTTATAATAATTCAGGGAAACTGCACCTCAGTGAGGGAAAACTGACAGGACAATCACGGGACTCGGACTCGCTATCCAGAAGCAAACAAAGACTTCTAACACCTAACTTCAAATGCACTTGTTATCGAAAAGAAGGGATGGGCGGGAGGGAAAAACAAGATGATGAATTAAGTCAATCTTGCACAGCACAGAACATTTTGAAGACGTCAACAATTAACTGATCTAACTAGAATTGCCACAGCATCTGTAGAAAAGAACTAGAGACTTAGAATTATCGCATATATTACAAATTTTCTCTTGAAAATATGTCTTAAAGAAGAAGATGGTGGTCCATACTTGCATGCTGGCTAGTTTTCTGTCAACTTGACACAGACTAGAATTATCTGGGAAGAGGCACCTGAACTGATGACTCCGTCAGACAGCCTGCAAACAGGTATGTAGGGCATGTTGTTGGTTGATAACTGATGTGGGGGCCCAGTTCACCATGGGTGGTGCCACCCTAGAGAGGTGGGCCTGGGTGGTATAACAAAACGGGCTGAACAAGCTGGTAAACAGCATTCCTTCCTCTAGGTCCCTGCTGTGGCTTCTTTCAGTAATGGACTGTTTGTTACCCGAGGTATAACATGAAATAAGCCCTTTCCTCCCCAGGGTGCTATCACGGTGTTTTATCATAGCAATACACAACAAATGAGGACAACTGCAAGCCTAGCACTGAGGACAGTAGGGCTGGAGGATCAGGAGTTCAAGGCTGTCTTCAGCTACACAGCAAGGTTCAGACTACCTGGACTACATGAGAGCCCATCTCAAGATATTTCACACACGCGCACACACGCACAGACACAAAAGGAAAACCATCTACACTAAATGTTTTGTATGTATTCCGAATAGAAGAAACACTTGGGGGGAAGCACAGTAAATGAAGCTAAGGATTTCATTTATGCTGGCAGTTGTGGTGCACACCTTTAATCCCAGTGCTTGGGAGGCAGAGGCACAAGGATCTCAGCCTGATCTTACAAAGCAAGTTCCAAGGCAGCCAGGGCTACACAGGAAAACATTGTCTCAAAACAAACAAACAAACATTTACAAATTGTCATGTGCCCTTATATCTATGACCAAATCACATTTTTGTAATTTAAAATAATACATATCAATTTAAAAATAAAAATGAAAGAAATATATTTTTATGCTGGGATATAGTTCTGTAGTAGAATGTCTCCTTAATACACAATGAGTCCTGGGGGGGTCAGTCCCCAGCATTTAAAAAAAAAAATGGACACAGACATACACAATCACCCAGTCAGTCAATTCTTTAAACAAGGGTCAGACAAGCAGGCATGGCTTAACCTTCATACACGCAGAAGTCAGGGATTCGGACTTCTGAGAGAGACACAGCGTTTGATAACCCACTAGCAGCCCAGTGTCTCCTACAAACTGAGAGCTATTAAGCAACCAAGTCTCGGGTTATGGCTCACATCAAACGGCTTGCATCTAGCACAAAAAGAAAACAAAGTCACCTTCTCTCATAAGATAAAGTAGAGGTGAGAAAACACTTGTTCAAATGCAGACAACCAGGACAACTTCAAACACTCAGTGCTTACTCTGCTGGGTGCCTGCTGCTCCCTCCTTTCTCACAGATTCTCCAGGCAGCAGTGAGAGCTGAGCAGCACTTGCCATTTCCTTGGCCTGTATGTACTGTTGAAGCTCTTTGTCAAAATTATCTTCTGGTTCCTGAGTGCAGGTCTCACCGTCACTGTACGGGTCATAGTCCTTACTTCTTGATTTTCTACAGGGCAAACCCTTTGGCGATGCTGTAGAGTTTCCCAGGTGCTTAAACTAAAGATGAAAAGATGATGTATTTATCTATTCTTTATCAATAAAATCTCGGGAGTCAGGTATTGGGATAAGAACTTGAATGACCAGAGAAGCAGCAGCGAAGTGACCAGTGACTTCTTATCTCTTTCATTCCTCCATCCAAAAGGGTTAAGACTCTCTCTAAGCCCCACCCTACTATTTCCTGTGTCTATCTGTCCGCAATCCTCCAAAACCTCTATGGTTAATTTTGGTCAGCCAGTATCTAGCTCTGCCCTCTGATTCAAAACGAACTTTCTTGGGAGCATCAGCATGTAATAAAAATATCACACAATAAAAATTGAAATTTTTGGCTTAAGACTCAAAGCAAGCTTTATATACATATATATACATATATATCATAAGACTAGCAATTAATTGACTATTACTGCATTTGTATGAGGGATACATGGGTTTTATACAGTGTTCTCTACACTTTTTTTATAAATGTAGTCATTTTTTAATGACTTTTATTTATTTATTTAATTATATATACAGTGTTCTGCCTGCATGTATGCCTGCATGCCAGAAAAGGGCACCAGATCTTATTACAGATGGCTGTGAATCACCACATGGGTGCTGGGAATTGAACTCAGGACCTCTGGAAGAACAGCCAGTGCTCTTAACCTCTGAGCCATCTCTCCAACCCCTCTATATTCTTTTTTAAACACTTGAAAATTTTGCAGAATTAGAAATGGGCTGTAGAAATGGCTCAGTGGTTAGGAGCACACAGCACACTTCCAGAGGACCCAGGATTCTTTCCCTCACCATGTCCAGCGGCTTACACCTGTTAACTCCAGCTCCAGAGGAATCTGACACTTCCAGCCTTGAAGGACACTAGCATGCACGTACACGCACACACACACATACACACACACACACCAAACAAACGAACACCACAAGGAAGACCAGGGAGATGGCACAGACATCAGGCATGAGAACTCAAGTTCAGATCCCAAGCACCCACGTAAAAGCTTGTCTGGTGGCCTCATGTGTAACCCTAGGATACAGCGAGGGCCAGGAGAATGGAGACAGATCTCTGGAGTTCACTGGATAGCCAACCCAACTGCATCAATGAACTAAAGGCTCAGAGAGAGACCATCTCCAAAATAAAGTAGAGAACAATTGAGAAAACCATCCAATATCAACCTCTCGCCTCTACATGTAGTCACACACATGTACACACACAGAGAGAGACACAGACACACACAGACACAGTTCCACACACAATATGCTTAGAAAAATTCAAGACAAAGACTGTATAATATTCTAAGGATTCCATTTCTCCTCTAAATACTCTATAGATTTCACATATTACTAATGAAAACCCCACCCAAGACTTCCTGTGGTACCCAACAAACTGATTTTAAATTTATATAGGTAGGCTTATGCTAAGAATAGCCACGCCAGGTATGCTGTGGGGCACACCTTCAGTCCTTCCATTGGAGAGGTAGAGACAGGTAGATTAGGTCTCAGAATTTGAGGCCAGCCTGGTCTACAGAGTGAGTTCAAGTACAGCTAAAGACTACACAGAGAAACCACATCTTGAAAAACAAACAACAGCACAAAAAGATAGCCAAGACACTTGAAAGAAAAAGAAACCACAAAGGTGCTAAGACTTGCTTATATAACACCAAATCATTTTAAAACTGTAATAATTAACTCTTTGAGTACTGGGCAAGGAACAAGTAGTTCAGAGGACAAGAACAGACAGCTGAGAAGACTGAACATGAATACCTGACTTTAACAAAAGTGGCAATGTAAAACCATGGGGACAAGACAGCCCCTTACTGATAAAGAAATGGCCCTGAAACAATTAGGTATAATAATAACAAAATAAAGAAATGGGTTGCCTGCACCCCATGGTGATTATAAATTTCAATGTGAAAGGCGAAACAAAGCTTTAGAAGATAATGCAAGAAAATATGCTAATCGGTGCACAAAGGACTGGGTATACAAGAACATCTTAAAATCAACTATCTCAAAGGTGTGACATTTACAAAAAATATCACTGAGCAGAAAGAAAACTAAAATGAGCAGGTATCTGCAACACACAAGGCACAAAGATGACCAAAAACTGCATAGAACTCTAAGTCAAGAAAACAACAACAATAACAACAAATAGGTCACCTCAGTGAAAGTAAGGGGGACAGAGACCAAGCTCAAGGACACAGGAAACTCACACAGGGCAAGACTGGAAATGCAGCTGCAAACAGAACAAGACTGGGATGCCATGGCGTTCTCAGGCGGGGCCAGCCTCTCTCATCCATTGTGTTGGAATAAAAACTGGTACAACTACTTTCTAACACAGTCAAGTATCGATACAAGGGGAACACTGCTCCTACGTGAGGCTCCAGCAGCATCTCTCCCAGGACAGTGCAGAGTGCAGGTGCATGATACAGGTAAAAGAATGCCAGCACACTGCTAAGGAAAGCAAGACCAGCGCCCACCTCTAACAGTCTGTCCTATGGACTGCTGTGCTGCGAGAAAGGTGAACAAGCACACACTCGATTTATGAATTTAAACTTTAAACTCAGGGATGACCACATAAGCAGTAAAACTGGGAAAAACAAGAAAGCGATCTGGGCACAAGTTAGACCTGGTCATTTCAGGAGCTAACACGGAGAAAGGAGGCAACAATACTTTTTCTAGACCTGCAGTGCTTACCTGGGTACCCTTACTAAGTTAGCCATAACCCTACATATATTTGTATTAGTGACTGAAAAGCCTGGGCTGAACGAACTCTGCTTGGGGATAACCTGGGTGTTCAGCTTTTCTATAACTTACTTAGAAATTAAGATAGCAGTATGCTATCTGCCTGTCTACTCTCTTAGAGAGGGAGTACACAGACTATGAACTGTGGGCACGGAGTGAGGCCTGTAGGACTACCCTGTGGGATAGTAAAACTGCAGATTCTGGACATCGGCCTTGGTCTTTATCCATGGTAGCTACACATGCAAGACAGTACTTCTGAGGGAGGGGCTCAGAGCCTTCCACAGGAGAGGAAGGTGCTGTGCCAGTTGTAGCATCTCTCCTGGGTATTTTTATAAAGCCCATTTCTGCCTTACATTGCCAATATGAATATATTCTTATTTAATGTGTTAATATTTACTGCTTCCCCCACAAAAAAACTCCAACAGGAGAGGAGCAGACATTGGCTTTGTGATGGACTGAACTTGAGTCTCCCTCGACTCTAAATTCTTATGTGTAAGTTTTGATTTTCAGTTTTGCACAATGGAGCCTATTTGGAAATCAGGCCATTGGAGGAGGTCAGGATGCTTCTTACAGCCATGGAAAACCAAAAAGCACCAGAGGGGTCTGGAACAGACCTCTCCTTACACACCCCAGAAAGAGCAACCCTGCTAACACCTTTGCTCCCAGGCTCAGTTCCAGCCCCACACCAGGATAATGCATCTGTGCTGTTCACGCTGCCATGTTTGTATCCTCTTACACACTAATTTGGGTTTTAAGTTAGTAATTAGTAAGGTTGGTTAAATAGTTCGTCAGACCTGTAGATTTTTACATCTAATTTGATAGGAAAGAAGCTTTTCAAGAAACAGTTTACAGTTCATTTCAGAAATGAGGAAATCGATCTTGTTATAACACGGACACATTCCCCATATGATCAAGACAGGAGTTCATGCTAAAAGACAAGAAAGTTACTGGAAGATGATTCTGAGTTTCCTTGACCTAAGTTAACAGGGCCCCAAATGCTAAATACAATGAGACAAACAGGACCCTTCAGGCTCTCACATCCATCCAGAGCTGTCTGTCCAACACGTCAGGTGAACCTTACTTTCTTGGGACTCTGGTCACTGTTTCGCTTTGCTTTCCATTTTACTTTCTCTGTCTGTGTTTGAACTTCAGCACCATCTACGTCATCGGTTCTGCAGCAAAACAGCAAATAACACAAAAGAGTTTATTGTACAGCATTCAAACTCATCGCTTGGGTTGGTCTTAAGAAATTCCAAATTCAAAGTCTACTCCAAATACTCTATAACAACATTAATAAAAAATAGCAGTGTAGGCCCAGGTGGTGCAGTCCTTTAATCCCAGCACTCAGGAGGTAGAGGTGGGTGGATCTCTGTGAGTTTGAGGTCCAGACAGCAAGTTCTAGGCCAGCCAGGGCTACACAGTGAGACTGTCTCAAAATAACAACAACAAAGATGATGACCAGTAAACTGAAAGTTTATATTATATATCTTAATGCTTAAGAATTAGTATATATGCCAGCCGGAGGCGGCACATACCTTTAATCCCAGCACTTGGGAGGCAGAGGCAGGCGGATCTCTGTGAGTCTGAGGCCAGCCTGGTCTACAGAGTGAGTTCCAGGACAGCTAGGGCTATTATACAGAGAAACCCTGTCTCGAAAAACCAAAAAAGAAAGGGGGGGGGGGAAGAATTATCATACATATAAATCACTATTCACCCATCATTCTAGTCATTCATTGCATGTTAATTATTCATCACATGTCAGGCTGTGGCCTCATACTACGAGGTACAACAACGAAAAAGACAAGTTGTCCCTGCCTCCTGAGAGCTTTTTATTATCTGCTTGGGAGAAAAATACAGGCGCATATATAAGGAACACTTAAGCTAGATTTGGAGTTTTCTAAACAGAAAAGATATGGAAGAATTAGCAAAGAGGAACATAAAAGAGAAGGATGTGTCAGGTACAATGCAGCATGCCTTTGGAGGTCAGGAGACAAACACCCAAACGTGAAGATGAACAACTCTTTTGTAACATGAGGGGGCCGGCTTGTTGGGGTTTCCATCCCTCCAAGTACCCCAACAGCTGGCAAGCAACAAAGAAAAATCACGCACAAGACTCCATAAGATTATAAACTGATTGGCCCATTAGGTCAGGCTTCTTGTTAACTCTTATAACTTATATTAACCCATTATTCTCATCTATGTTAGCCATAATGGCTCCGTACCTTTCTCAGCTGGGCAAGTTACATGCTGCCTCTTCAGTGGTCTGCGCAGGAGTGACGAGGGACCTTCCTGCTTCCCAGAATTCTCCTGTTCTCATTGTATCACCTCTACTTCCTGTCTGGTTTTCCCGCCTATACTGCCTGCCTGGCCAATCAGCGTTTTATTAAAATACATGATTGACAGAATACAGACAATTCTCCCGCATCACTCTTTTCTGACGCAGGCATGAGAAACTCATGATACACAGACATTGTGTGAAGTAATTACTGAGCATATCCTAGCAAATCAGATCTCAACCAGGGTATGTGTATGTAACCGTTTCACGGGGTCGTATATAAAACATCCTGCATCTCAGATATTCACATTATGATTCATAACAGTAGCAAAATTACAGTTATGAAGCAACAACGAAGGTAATTTTCTGGTTCGGCAGAAGGGTGGAAGCATCAGGAAGGCTGAGAAGCACTGTTCTAGCAGAACTGAAAGTGAACCCGAGATGAAGGGATGGATATTGTCAGAGCCTGGAGAACTGTCTTAAACCACAGCCTGTCAATCTTCACGCCCTCTCCACTTCACTGCTCCATTAGGGTCCCTGATTCTCAGTCCTAGTTGTTGACCCACTCAGAAGCGTGAAAGCCAGCTCTAGCAGTACTGAGCTGTCCCTGGTTGTTCCCCTACTGCTGCTACTTTTTTTTTTTTTTTTTTAAAGACAGGGTCTTCATCTTAGGGCGTCTATTGCTGGGGCGTCTATTGCTGTGAAGAGACACCATGACCATGACAACTCTTATAAAGGAAAACATTTAGCTGGAGCAGCTTACACTTCAGAAGTTCAGTCCATTATCATCTTGGCAGGACATGGCGGCATGCAGGCACACATGGTGCTGAGAATGAGCTGAGAGTTCCACATCCTGATCCGCAGGCAACAGAAAGTGAACTATGTCACGGGGTGACATAAGGAGTAAAGGAGACCTCAAAGCCTACCCCCACAGTGACATACATTCTCCAAAAAGGTCCTACCTACTTCAATAAAGCCATACCTCCTAATAGTGCCACTTCCTATGATCTTACGGGGGCAAATTATATTCAAATTACCAATCTCACTGTGTAGACCAGGCTGGCTCCAATCCATCTGCTTCTGCCTCCCCAGTACTGGGATTAAAGGTGTGACACCATGCCCAGTTGCTATTTTTTCTCCTCAGTTGGCTCCTCATCTTTGCAACTCTTACCAAGTCATTCCTCACTTTTCTTTCCTACAGGTTCATTCTCCTGGAGTCTAATACCATCTGTATACAACTGATTCCAGTAGCCTCGTCTCCAACCTCCTGCCCTTAAGAACCAAACAGCCAACTTTCACTAAGGTTTTTCCTTAGCTGTCTTCTTCCTACTATCCACATCATCCTCCTTATCCCAAACACCCAACTCCTCACCCAGTCCTCATTTACCCATGGCTTTCCTTATCATCTAAGGTACCATACATCTGTCGTCCACCTCCATAATACACAATTCATGAGCATTAGTATTTTTCTTCATTTTATTCATTTATTGTTCTATCACCATGGTCTAGAATGGTGTGTCTTATGTAGCAGGAGTGCAATTAAAATTGTTTTAAATGAATGAGTATTCCCATCATGAGCAAAAGAATCAGAAACCTGACGACTGACTCACTTCACACTCACACACACATATCAGGCTAGAAATGGCTCAGTAGTTAAGAGCACTGGCTGCTCTTCCAAGGACTAATACGAGGGTTAACAAACTTCAGCACCACCTGCTCCAACGGGCTCTTCAGGCCTCCAAGGGCAAGACACACATGTGGTGCAGAGACATACATGCAGGCAAAACATTCATACACATAAAATAAACTAAAATAAACAAAAAACGTGTTTCAATGCATTCAAAACAATCTACAGGCAAAAATCAAAAGATAAACTGAAAAATACAGAAATCTAAAATCTTGAAAAGGACTCAAAGCCAAAGTAAAAAGAAGGCCTAGGAATTGCTAGATGCCTTACTTCCAAGCCACTCTCCAACTGTCTTCTGTAAGTCCAAGCATCTCTTACATATTTTGTCTAAACTTTAGTAAACGCGTATTTTGTCTAATGTAATTTCAAACTATTGACTATTTTTTCTAATCTTGTTCAATTCTTATACATGTAAAAGCTATCAATTTGTTTCTGTCCTTACAGATTCAACGCAATGCCCATCAAAATCCCAGCAAAATTCTTCAAAGACCTTGAAAGAACAGTACTCAACTTCATGTGGAAAAGCAAAAAACCCAGGATAGCCAAAACAATCCTGAACAATAAAAGAACTTCTGGAGGCATCACAATCCCTGACTTCAAACTCAAATACAGAGCTACAATAATGAAAACAGTCTGGTATTGGCATAAGGACAGACAGGAGGACCAATGGAACCGAACAGAAGACCCGGATACCAATCCACACATCTTCAAACACCTAATTTTTCACAAGGAAGCAAAAAATACCAAATGGAAAAGAGAAAGCATATTTAACAAGTGGTGCTGGCATAACTGGATATCAACATGTAGAAGAATGAAAATAGACCCATATCTATTGAGTTTTGAGACAAAACTTAAGTCCAAATGGATCAAAGACCTCAACATAAAGTCAGCCACACTGAACCTTACAGAAGAGAAAATGGGAAGTACACTTGAACACATTGGCACACCGAACCTCTTCCTAAATATAACCCCAGCAGCACAGACACTGAGAGAAACAATTAATAAATGGGACCTCCTGAAACTGAAAAGCTTCTGTAAAGCAAAGGACACAGTCAACAAGACAAAACGACAGCCAACAGAATGGCAAAAGATCTTCACTAACCCCACATCAGACAGAGGTCTGATCTCCAAAATATATAAAGAACTCAAGAAATTGGATACCAAAAGAACACATAATACAATTAAAAAAAAATGGAGTAAAGACCTCAACAGAGAACTCTCAACAGAGGAATCTAAACTGGCTGAAAGACATTTAAGGAAATGTTCAATGTCCTTAGTCATCAGAGAAATGCAAATCAAAACAACTCTGAGATTCCATCTTACACCTGAAAGAATGGCCAAGATCAAAAACACTGATGACAACTTATGTTGGGGAAGTTGTGGGGAAACAGGAACATTTCTGCGATTTCTCAGAAAATTAGGAAACAACTTTCCTCAAGACCCAGTAATACCACTTTTGGGTATATACCCAAAGGATGCTCAATTGTACCACAAGGACATGCGCTCAACTATGTTAATAACAGCATTGTTTGTCATAGCCAGAACCTGGAAACAACCTAAATGCCCTTCGACCAAAGAATGGATAAGGAAAATGTGGTATATTTACACAATGGAGTACTACACAGCAGAAAAAATAACAACAGCTTGAATTTTGCAGGAAAATGAATGGAGCTAGAAAACATTATTTTGAGTGAGGTAACCCAGACACAGAAAGACAATTATCACATGTACTCACTCATAGGTGGTTTTTAAACATAAAGCAAAGAAAGCCATCCTACAATCCACAATCCCTGAAAATTTAGACAACAATGCGGACAGTAAGAGAGACTTACATAGATCTAATCTACATGGGAAGTAAAAAGTAGAAAAAGACAAGATCTCTTGAGTAAATTGGGAGCATGGGGACCTTGGGGGAGGATTGAAGGGGTGAGGGGAGAGGCAGGGAAGGGAGCAGAGAAAAATGTAGAGCTCAATAAATATCAATAAAAAAATGGAAAAAATTGTTTCTGTCCTTGAATGTTACTACCTGCAAGTAATCCGTGTCCATTTCTTCCCAATATCTATAGGACCTAATTTACCTGCTTTAGAAGCTGGGTGATAAAAATCTTATGTACTGAAACACACTACCCCAGCACCTTAATCCTAGATCTACCACCCCCAGAGCCATCTTGGCAGGTGACATAAGCTCCCTATGCCTCAATATTCTCATCTGTAAAATAAGAACATCACTTTCTCCTTAAGGCTGATGTGGGGGCTAAATTTTACATGATGCACACATGAAACCCTTGATGCTAGTCCAATTAGGGTCATGGTTTTCACTAACGTATTTTGAGACAGTACTGTGAACACATATATTCTTTTCCTCCTTAAAACAGGATTTCACTATGTAGTCCAGACTGTTCTCAGACTCGCTAAATGGTCCAGCTTCGGCTTCTCAAGCGTTGGGATTAAAGATATGCCCACCAGGTCCGGCCCTGCGCTGGAAACGTATCTGTAATTAGGATGGCGAAAAACCTAGTGAAGGATGTGTAAGTTTCCACTAAGGCAAGATGGGTACACAGAAGACAAGGGTTTTTGGCGAGATGGGGCATGGGGGCACTTTCAATTCAAAAGACTAAAAGTGAACAGGTACCTGTACAGAAATTCTGCACTAGGTACGAGACTAACAACATGCTTTTCCAACTTAACAGAAATACTAAGCCAAAATGGTGTTTGCTGTTTATTCTGGGATTTTTGGTTCAGGGTCACTGGCAGGGCAGTGCTTCTGTACCAGTCAAACTCTCAAGAAACAAGAGTCGGGACAAAGCCACCTCTGAGCTGAGGGAGTGACAGGAAACAGGTTAAGCGCACGTGCAAGGGGAGCAGCCGGGCCCTGGGGGCAGACCGGCAGAGATCGGAGCCTCCTCCCGCAGCCCGGCCACTGCCCTCGCCCCAGGTCCCCACTCTGCCTGCCATCCCACTTCCCCCGCGACCTCTCCGCTCCGGCCTCGGCCCACGCGCTAGCCCAGGCTCAGGGGTGGAACCCCGGCGATGCCCCTGCAAAGGACGAAACATGTGGATCACCTTTCTTCAGAGTCGGCGGCCGGTTTTTTGCCAAGGGCCGGATTGGGGGGTTTTGAGAAAAGATTTTCAAAATCCATAACTCAGAAAGGAACCGTCCCTGTCCACGCCGAGCAGTTACTGAGCAACCTCCAGAACCGGGGCACACGAACCTGGAGCCGCGCCAGGACCGCAAGCTCCGCCCCGCGCACGCGCACCTGCCACTTGGGCGCGCCCTCTCTCGATCTTGTGGAACCGGCGCTCACCCGTACTACGCATGCGTGGTCCTCACTAGGGCGCTTTCAGTGCATGCACTGGCGCACGCGCATACCTCTTTGTGCAGCAGTCTAGTAGCATTTAAAAATATAATTTTGCCGGGTGGTGGTGGTGCACGTCTTTAATCCCGGTAGTCGGGAGGCAGAGGCAGGCGGATCTCTGAGGTCGAGGCCAGACTGGTCTATAAGAGCTAGTGCCAGGACAGCCAGGACAGACAGAGAAACTCTGTCTCGAAAAACCAAAATAATAACAATACTAACAATAATAATAACCTTTAGGATTCTTTTTTAAAAGGTGTATTATTTTTATGTGTACGAGTGTGTGTGCGTGTGTACATGAGTGCAGGTGCCTGCGAAGTCCAGTGATTATGGAGTTACTGTGACCCACCTGACAGGAGTGCTGGAACCCCAATGCAGGTCCTCTGCAAAAGCAAGATGTTCTCCTAACTGCTGAGCTATCTGTCTCTCCAGTTCTTTATTTTCTTTCAGATAGTGAAACCCCACTGCCTGAAATCACAGTTTTTTGTAGGTACTTTTCAAATGCACATTTGACAGGTGTATAAATAAAATTAAATGCACGAACAGGAAATTACAAGATCTCTTTACAACAGTAAACAAATAAATATATTTGAAGCAGGCAAGTTCATTAAAAAGTAATGAGTGTTAAGACTATTCGGAAGAGGGAGAGGGAAACAGCTGGTTGGGAAAGCTTGAAAGGAGTGAGCTCAGTCTAGAGATAATTTCCAGATGAAGGGATAAAACTGGAGTTAAATGTGTGTCCTAAGGAGAACTGTAAAGGCAGAAAAATAGATCACGCCTGGGAACCGGAAATTGTTTAACGGAAGTAAATAGAAGAAAGCAAAATTCAAACTCTGTTCTGGGTCAGGACAGAAAACCTGACTCTGGACAGACCGCGGAGGCGCGCACCTTTAATCCCAGCACTCGGGAGGCAGAGACAGGCGGATCTCTGAGAGTTTGCTGCCAGCCTGGTCTACAGAGTGAATTCCAGGAAGGCTCCAAACCTACAGAGAAACCCTGTCTTGAAAAACAAAAACAAACCAAAACAAAAACCAAGAAAAGAAAACCTGACTCTGTTGTAATTGAAGGGACTATTTGATTCCTAGCATGAATTGTGGTCCACTCCACAGACAAATGAAGAAAATTAGGCCAGACCTTCCTGAGGACAATTCTACCTCCCAGTTATATGGACAGTCAGCTTTTTTTGCATTTGGTTACTAAAAATTATAAGAGAAAATTAAGGAGGTAAAAACTGAAACTAATAATATCCCTTCTTTAGAGGAAAATATTAGCTCATACAATCATAATTTCATATAGACCTTTCCATACACACACACATGCACATATATATTTCAGAATTTGGGCTGGTAAGAGCGCTCAGTGGGTGAAAGCACTTGCTGCCAAGCCTACCTGATGGCCTGAATTTCCTCTCTGGAACCCACAAGATTGAAAGAGAGAACCAACTCTCAAAAAGTTGTCATCTGACCACCATATACTTGCCAAAAAAAAAAGTGATTTAAAAAAAATGAAATGTCCTGGTCTTGGTGAGTTGCCTCAAAAAAACTTTTTAAAAAATTAATGCCCAAAATAGAGCAAAAGATAGTTAGACACATAAGAAATCAAATGGGGGGACATAAAAATTGAAATGCAAATGGAAGCTATTAGTGTTCTCAAATAAATATTATAAGAGGTTACATATATTTGCAGTAGGTTGATCCTATATGGCTCAGTGGTTAAGAACACTGACCAGCAGATAGACCTAGGCCTAGGCCCAAAGGACCTAGATTCAATTCCCAGCATCCACAAGGTAGTTTACAAGTTTCTGAGCTCTGAGTTCCAAGGGATCTGATGCCCTTTTCTGACTTCTAAGGTACCAAGTGTGCACAAAGTGCACACACATACATTCAAGCAAAAATCCACACACATAAAATAAAAAAAAAGTATTGAAGGTCACTTGACTACCTAGAAAAGTTTGAGGCCTGAATTGAGCCTGAGCTACAGAAGACCATGTCTCAAACCTTCACATACATCCAAATAAGTCAGAATAACAAATGAAATTTAACTCAAGGGGACAAATATCTAGAATATTATAATTTATAGAGAATTTATAGAATGTTCTACTTCATAGTAAAATGAGGATACCAGAAGTTGAAGGGTATTACAGTTTCTGTTTGAGGTGATGGAAAAGTCTGGAAACAGGTAATAGTGATTAGCACACAATAGTCTGCGTGTATCTAATAGCTTTGCATTATGTGCTTCAAAATGGATGGAAGGGCAAGTTTTAAGACATTTTACAAAATGAGAGAAAAGGAAGTGTCTGGCATGATGAGACGGCGCAACGACCTCTTGAAGACTTTTGTCCCAGCGTTTGCTAGGTCCACGTCAGGAATCACCAATGGCTGCTGCGTTTCTCACCATTCTGGGACTTTAGGGTACAAACGGGGGTGGGGTGGGGTGGGGCGTGCTCTGCACGGCACCTAATGATGCCCCCGGAGACAGTTTACTTTCTCAAAGCTGCCGATTTTATAGCGGTTTTTCAGCCTCAGCGCAAGCAACTGTCCTTTGGGGTTGGACAATCTTTGCTTTGGAGGACAGTTGCGCATTGGAGAGTAAGCTGTTGCTACCACTAGATGTCAGTAGTATTTGCTCCTGACAGCAAAAATCACAGGCTGAGAAGAGAAAGATGGAGGAAGGGAGAGGGGGGGGACCTTTTTTGAAAAGCCTGAAACATATCAAACAGTTCTAGACATTAAACAAATACCCACATATCAGCTGTAGCAAGCAAAAACTTCTCTTTAACAAATATGGAGGGAGAGGGGTTGGAGGAGAATCATCCCTAGGCACTGGCTCTTGAAGAATCCCAAAGCAGGAAGGTATCTATTAAAGGTAGGAGAGTTTTCCACAACTTCACGTTGAGGCTATCATTTGGGTTCATCGGGCGCAGGAACCATCAGGTAAAAAGGAAAGCCTTCCGCTGGTGCGATGATGTATACCCACTCAAGCATCCCAGACACACAAGGAGGTCAAGTAAAAATGTGTTTAGAAAGAGTGACAATTTCTTAGATTGGGTAGGGGATAAAAAAAATCTTGTGTTTTATGACTAAACAGAAATGACCACTACTGCAAGCAACAACACTTGTGCTCCAAGGGGCTACCCACCAGCCAAGGAGACAAGGCCAACTCAGAGTAACGGGAACACGACAAAGGGTGGAGGAAAAAGATAAAAATATCAACTACAAGCCTATTTAAGCTCATTTTAATAAAAAGCAATTAACTTGCACACACCGTTCATCACTTCAAGATTGTTCCTCAAGGTCACGGATATATGAAAAGATGCACTGTCTTGTTCTTTTTTTATGAAATAGTCGCATGCATTCCACGAATAAAACGTTAATATCAAGACATAAGATCACATTTGAATGACCTCAACGGCTATTTTAATTCTGTCAAGTAATGACTAAGGGAATTTAACATCAGGAAGAGCTGCATGCTAACTAATCTTCCTTACAATACGCACTAAACATTACGGAGATGGATAACAGCGACAACTTTGAGGGCCTAAGAATGATCCTAAGTTGTTTTAGCAACAAGAGTTTTCTTCCCACAAAGATAACTGACAGTTCCTTTTAATCTCCCGCAGCTAACGGTTTGAGGGGGTGATGGGGAAATGGGGGGGATTGTGTGCGTCCGGCACCCTGAAGCCCTTGGATGGCGAGTCTCGCAGGAACACCGAGAAACGGGGCACAGAGGACCTGGAGGACACAGCAAGCGGGGTAGCCTGCCCCCTCCCAAAGTGACTCCAAGCGCCACCCGACCGCAGCTCTAGCCTCCCTGTGCAACTATCGGCTTGCTGCCTCCGCTGCCGCAGCGAGAGTCTTAAAGGCCCGCCCCTGGAAGTGATTGACGGGCAGTTTCCACCAATGGCTAATGCGCTCAGCCCCGGCGAGCAGGCAGAGGGCTGCGGCCGGCGGAGGAATCTCACTCGCCCGTTAGTCCCGGGCAAGGTGTTGCGGCCGGCGCCATTTTCTGAGCCTGCCCGTCTCGGGTGGCGCCATGTTGGTGAGGAGAAATTACCGTTACGGCCACTGTCCAAATCCCCGCGTCGCTGCGCGCCACCCGCCGGCTCCCACGCCTCAGCCTCCGGCGGCGAATACAGACTAGAGCGGCAGCGCCGGCAGCGCGGGGCCGTTGCCCCAGTCTTTGCAGTTAGAGCCCCATCTCTCTGGCGTGGTTGTTAATAGACTGGAAAGTCTGTGTCTGTGTCGCTCACTAGTAACCGTGAGTTTTTACCACTTCGTCACCCGTCGGCGGCGGCCGGGAACAGGTGCCCGCAGGCGGCGCAGGGGTCCTCCCCGCGCCCCGCCGCCGCCGGCCTCCAGACCTGCCCTCCAGCCCCGCCCCGTTCTTGACCAAACATGACAGACTCTGAACATGCAGGGCACGACAGGTCGGGAACCCTTCTTGTCTGTCTTTCTGTCGGATGAG